CACTTGCAGCCCATTGTTCAGCTTCGGCAGTTACATTGCTCACCACCCCTTCAGGTGAAGGTACAGGGAATAATAATAAATCTTATATCATTGCTGAAATGAACTCACCACCTGCGCATTTGAAGCTTGTCCTGGAGCACAGGCAAAATGTCACAAAATAAAATTCACTGCTAACTACCAATATTGCATGTTCGACATTCCTGCTGAAATCTATTTGACTGATTTTTTAGTATCTTCTTTTATTCAAAATCCTTCCATTATTGCGGCATCAACTTCTTAAATACGATAGATGCAGACATTTACCAGAACCTGTTGTATAGGTACGGAGATGAATGTTTCGAAGTTTCAATTCGCAATATTTGTTTGGAAGTGATAACTTCAAAACCGCTTCTTTACCTAACGCGTAACGGCGCCAGTTTTTCTGGCATCTCTTTTTCTCAAGCATACGTTAGCGGAAGGCGGCTTCTCCTCTCTCGTCGGGCTCGTCGGGCAGACGCTGTGTTTAGTGTGCGTTAGACATATACTGTTAACAGTAATATGAAAATCTAACCAGCAAGCACGAAATATTCTTTCATTATGTGAAACGTGGCTTAAAAATTATGATACTTATTTTGTGTATGTACATTATTAGCATCGTTATTTAATGCTACAGAAATAATAATTGGCTTATGGTAGCTATAATATGTGTACATACACATGATAATCCATATAATCAAATAATTTTAAAACAAATAACGATTTTTAGTAAATAAATTCAATAACAGTCTTTATATCAGTGAGGAGTCAACCTCTTTTAATGTAGTAACTTGTTCTATTGTATTGATATGTATCAATTAAATGTAACATTCTTTTTGACACGGCCATTCTCACTAACAGTAAGTTGAGAACTTTGTAAAAAAAAAACGTGTACGTCTCGAGACGCACATGTTTTTTTCAATTGTGTCTCTTTTCGATATAGTATTGATATTTTTTTGATTTCTGTCACAGTATTGGTACATGGAATGTTTCTTTTCCGTTTGAGACGAGATGAAGTTGTTAGACAATGTTTTCCTTAGACGAAGGTTTCATACATGCAGTCGAGCTGCGAAGAGTATTAATATGAACTGTCACCTATATGGAATAATAACGTTCTCAATGATGTACTTTGAATTTTCAAGGCGAGACACTTGCCTTATCACCTCATCAGCACCGTTTTGGATAACCAGACAAATCACTCATTTCTTCCATAACCTTGCTGTAGATGTGTATACTGTCACAATGACAGTACGTACACACATCTCTACTGTTGGTTAACCCCGCCATAGGAATTTCATTTGAATTGAAAAAGGAATGTGGAAAACTTTCTAAGAAAGTAAAAGAAAAACTAGGTATAATGAAGACTTTCCATTGTTGTAATTTTTTCTTTCTCAATTTGGAAGTTTCCCACATTTTTTGTTTCATGATAGAGATATCAGAGGCCAGAAGCTCTTTCCAAAAAAACTCATCTCCCCTTAAATTATCTTTTTAACTCAAACGATAATTGAAATATCTTTATACAAGAGAATTACATCTAAAAAACCACTCAGAGAGTTTTACATTGAATTTCATTCAATTTTAATCATCCTGCTGCAATGAAACTCATCATCACTCAATACTTTGGATAATTAAAAAACCACTTATTCGATATTTGTCCTGAACCATAATGTTTGTCTATAACAAACTCGTCGACCTTGAGGTGGATCTTCGTCCGTTCGCCAGAATAAAATTAATAGAACGACGACATTTTCAAATTGATGAAAACAAAAATATATTCATGAGCTATTGCTAAAAGAAAGACACCAGGAAAAATATCGCATAATTGTTATTGCACCTACTGTTGAGAAAAAGAAAAAAAGAAGAAAAGGAAAACAACATTTTTTGCCCAACAGATGAATCCATTCAAAGGACAATATAAAATAAAAATAATAATGTATAAATAGAGGCTACTCAAGCTAAATATATAAAAAAAATTTGACATATCAAGGATTTGACAAATTAAGAGATAAATTCACATAAATGATCGAATTAAGAAAAAAAGATGACATATTAATTGATCATTATTTGTGTATAACTTGAAATGAAGACAGTAAACTAGATGATGCTTTGTTCAATTTTAGATAATATGGTCTTCAGTGGAACGAAATTGATATCGCATTGATTGCAGTGGACTGTTGTCCATTTATTCTTACAGATGTATTGGATATTAGTATACAGTTTGGCAATTGGTCTCAGTGAATCTTATGGAATTTGTTGAAAACAAAATTAAAATACTATACTGAATATCGAATTGACTGAACTGATAGAACTCATGATTATTACAAAAACAAGATTAGATAATGTCACAATTTCAGACGTGGTAACAATCATTGAACATCTGAAATAATTTGAGTAGGGAGTACTTCTTCCACATTTCTATCACATGCAATTCCTTAGAGATGTTTGTGTTTTTACGTGAAAAAATCAGGCGATGCATATCTTCTGATCCCTATTAGGAAATGAGTTTTGACAGTATGACCCCGTTAATCCTCTGCTCACGCAAAATTTGACTTTTGATAATTTCTGTTTGTATTGTGGCGACAGCGGCTCAACTGAAAAAATCATTTCGATAAATTTTTCATTCCATCAAATTGACCATCAGGAATAAATGACTTTTTTCGTTTGGGTTGTAAACTGAAAGGTTCAGAACGATTACTGAATTCTAAAAATTTGTCAGTACGCAAAAATATTTTCAGGTAATTTGTTCGGAACTCTTAATCAGTTTTTACTTCTCAATAGGCAATTATTGAAATTGAAGAAGTACTCAAAGTATCAGTGATCATTATTTCTCATCGAAATTTAGGAACAAGACGTTTGAAAATTGTAACTGATGAATCGGCCGATATTTGATGAAAATACATGATGTTCACAAAAACGCCACACGTGTTTCGGTATACAATAGCTTCTCCAGGGGTGAAAACGGGTGATGTGATTTTCTTTATTATCAAAAAGTACGAAGTACTCTTCTTGACGTGTCAACTGTCAGTTGACAGATGACTCTACCGCAGTTGTAGTTGAAACGTTTGGAGACTATAACCAAAGAAGACCACGGAAAAACCCGAAACCAATCAAAACATTGGCGGCAGACATGAAAACCTATATTCGTATACATCCACAGTATATTTGTAGTTGATGAGAACTGTAACTATTTTTCCATTAATATTAATCTGCTCCAATGCGCCAAGTGTAAATTTATTTGAATAATTCATTAACACTAATCAAATCTTCCAAGTATATAATTGACCGTTTGCAGGTGTCCTAAATGAAGGAAAAATAAGTTTATATACTACGATAATATCATGATATTTATCACGATTTTCTTGTCTCTTTCACTCTCTAATTCAATAAATGAATATTTGTCATTTTATACCAACTGATAATTGTATACAAATTATCGAATGAATTGTTCATCAGTACAATTGCAATAAATTATTTTGCAGTTTAAAAAACAGTAAGTATCTATGATTTTTTTCTGCGTTTTGTTAAGAATGAATCATCATTATTACCAAACTCAAGTGAAAATATTTCATAGAATCGAAAATTGCGTTCGAAATATCATTAGCCGTTACAGAGAAATGGAATTATTGACATTCTGACGTCAGGTAAAATTACTAAGCATTAAATAATTAATAACTGTGTGACCTCAACCATCTTTTCTCTATCAGATCTATATTATTCCTTTTCATTATTAATGACATATCGATTTTTTTTGTTTTTAATTGAAGGCGAAGATGACAAAACATTATTCAAACAACACGTCAGTTACCGATAGGTACGAGGTATTATAATTCATAGCATTGAATTCAATATAAAAAAATTCGCTGGACAGAATTGCGATGCTTATTTGCCATAACAGAGGTTTTAATTTGAAGGAGAACTTGAAAATGAATGTGGATCACTGGTGCGTTCAGTAATTTTTTCAATGAACAGTAACAAAAATACTTCCTTGATCTCTATTTGAATAGATACAAATACTGGATGTTTCTGTTTCTACCTGCTGCATTATAAAACTAGTATAGCAAGCGCCAATTACGATAAGCTCCTTGCTGGCCAGTGTGATATATATATATAAATAATTGGTTTTAATCATGGTCGTAAATGAAACATGACTTCTTTTCATATTTCATTTAGTATTATGGGTAGTGAAACAGTACATTGAAATGTTATATAATGGGGTTACATTAAAAATGAGTTTGTGAGCATGGAGCGGGCTCGTCATCACATTTGACACTTGCTATAGTCATAAAAATAATTGAAAACGAATAATATTTGAATAATCGCACAGTTTGCGTTGACCAGGTGTCTTGTGAGATAGAAGAGGTTTCTAATAAGAATTCTGACGAAAATGTGGAATTATGGGGTTGTGGTTTATATTATGCATATCAAATAAAAAAACATGATTGAATGAGATTATTTGGATTTGTATGTTTACGCACTAGTCAGTTCAAAAATTTTCCATGAATCTAGCGACTGATCCGTTGTTGAACCTATATTTTTATAACATATAATTTTTCATAATCCATAGTGTCACATCAGCTTGTAACAAGTGATAATGACCTTTCACGAAAGTTACTCCAACAGTAATACTTTCACAACTAACAATTTCAATTTTGAAATAGGTAAGTACCTATTTTCCAGTAGGCAAGAAAACATGCGACCTCGGCCTTCAAAATGTCTACGTAAAACATCTTAATATCTGCCTAGTTTCTTCAATATCATAAAGTTGAATAATGAATCATAAAAAAACATATTACATCTATGATTATTTGAATCTCGTTTCGGTTGAAGGGATTTACCAAGTATAGTCACGTACATCCGGTAAATTGTAAAAGAAATTTCACTTTCTCCTCGTTTTTGTAGTTCGCATTAAAAAGTAATTGTTTTTCAAATAAAATATGTTTTGGTTTCTCCAAAACTGTAATTGTTGTGACATATTATGAAATAGCGTCAGTTACCTGTTGTTTACGAATTGAAGTATAATATACAGGTTGTCAAAAAAAATTCCTCAATTCAATTTTTATATTATTTCAGAATAAGAAGTTTTTGTTGAGACTATTTCTTGGTAAACTCTGCTTAAAGTTTGTAAAACTGAAGTATACGCGAACAAAGTCTTGGGTAACCGCTAACATTGAATAGGCGATGATAGATCTTCAAATTATTATTCACGGTATATCCTGTGTTTCCTATTCTGGAGTTACCTTTATTGATAACCTAGTTCCCAATTCGAGGGCAATGAACTAATTATGCTGAAGTACGTGAAAGGATATGAGAACACATATATCCGTTATCGAACTTTTGTATATCCGTAATTCAGACTAATTTCTTTTTCAGTAGTCCTTCATCATGACACTGGTACAGCCTGGTCCGGAATTGCAGATCCACATCAGAAAAGAACTCAATGAAGATATTAAAACTAGAGATAGTGATTTACAGCACATTAAAGACTGGTTACTCAAACAACCCCATTTACCAGACACTTGGGGTAAGTATCACTTCTGTTCTCAATCCAAAATCGTTCGATGAAAATTGAAATGATAAACAAAAAGATATATTCTACATTGGCGGATTTGAAGAGAGGTTTACCTTTTGAGATCACAATAACATGAGGTGTATCATAATATTGTTAATATTTTTTTCAAAAACTTATTCGATGATCGTGCTTAGAATCGCAAGTTGAATGGTGATAACTTGTTAATTCCTAGCTCTGACAAGTTTTGACTTTTGAGAGAAGTTGTTCGTAGGGATCAACAGCTGGTTAACGAAAAACAGATTTGAACAGACAGAATTAAATATTACTTTCCGAGTGAACCAATTCGACCATTTAAAATGTGAGCAAAGGCTTAATTTTTGAAATTATGCTAAGAAAATGACTTGAGTATATAATGAAAAATATGTTTGAAATGTGTTTTTCCGTTAACCAGCTGTGGCACCCCTACGAACGACAACCCTCAGAAGTCGAAACTTGTGCAAGCTGAGGATTAACGAGGTATTACCTTTTAACGTTTGATTCCTAATAGTCAATAAAATTTTGAATCCGTAGATCAAAAAATTTTATCCTGAACCATTATACCTGAAAGCAAAATTTTATGTTATGGAATTGTACGCATTTTGGTTGATTGGACTTGATTTAGGACAAATATATTTCGAAATCATTTTCGAAACAAAAAAGATAACGTACTTAAACTTAAGAACGTTTTAATATGCAAATTCTAGGATTTATGTGAAATATCCGAAAATTATTGAGTTTCGAAAACTATAAGTTTATGTTTGAAATATTAATGTTGACGACAACATTTCCCAAGAACAATATTTGGGTTCATTTTAATAGATTGAACAGGTCTAGTTAATTTAATCACTGGTACACTCTGTAAAAACTGCCTAACCTTCAATAACCTTCTATAGTTTTTATGCATTGAAGAAAATATACTAAGTTCAATTGGTTGAAATTTTCAGTCTTTACACACATTTTATCTTAAAATATTACATACGAGAATATTTGCTTGAAAGCATAATTTCTGAAGGTATGGAAAATATGAAAAGTTTTTTTATTCAATGAACACTGATGTGAATATGTGTCTGTATAATCTATCCTATTTTTCATAAATCGATAATGGTACTGTTGAAGATAGTACGGTAAACCACATGACATTATGAGAGTGAAATGAAGAATCATATAATTCATTATGATGAAAAAAACCCATTTGGGGCCGTTCAAGTATTACGTAAGCACCATAGGGGAGCGGGAGTCTTTGATTTGCTTATATTTGACGACATGGAGGGCGGGGTGTCTAGATGGTGATTACGTCAGCCGTAGTTTTTTATTTTTTCACACATATGGCAACCCACCCATTGTCTATCTTTGAAAATAAAACGCATTTGTGGGGTTTAGGTAATCGCTTGTCACCGAGTAGGCAAAATACCGCGCGCTATTCACTTGTCTGACTATGGGTTAAGCGAGCAAGATATTCCTGATTTCCCAGAAATTGAATGGTATACAAAACATGTTCGTGAAAGCGAATACTTGCCTCAAATTGTAAAACCTAAAAACATCAAATGCTGTCGTCCAAGAAGGGGCATATTCAGATTACTAGACAACAGGTTTCTTCCACCAAAAGTGAAAGTGAAACAAACAGATGATGACTTGGTTTTGGATGATGAAGGCAATTTCTCAATTTTAAAGTCTATTTAGCTCTACGCTTGAATGATTCACTGAAAGATTTTTTTGCAAATCTCTTACAATTATTTTTGTCCGACAGTAAAATTGAAGCCATCAAGTCGAACATGCAAAACGTGCGGTCTCAATCATGCTTCCGTCAAGTCACTAAATGACACATCCTTAAAAAGTAAACACGCACACTGATGTCAAAATTAGCCGTATAAGAGTCGCTGCTCGTCGTGCTGATGAACTGGTGTACATTGTTCAAAATTTGGAGTACCACGAACTTGAATGTCTCGAAGAGAACGACTAAGACATTCCAAAAACGGATGAAAGTGAGCAAACATCCAGCATTGAACAGCAAACACCTAATGTCAATGAAAACTTAGAATCAGGGATTCGGCTGACATGGATTGAAGACTGTTAATTGAAATTAATATGTACACTTAAGATTATAATATTCTACTTAAGATCTATTTTCTTATTTCTGGAATCATATCTGCTGCCCAAGAATCAAACAGAATACTTTAAAAGAAAAATTTATATAAAAATGTTTACGTTTCAGCTAAAGTAAGCGAAGCTTACTATTGTAATTGTAATCGTAATAAATATGTTTGCGTAATACTGGAACGGCTCTTTTGTGTTCTGAAATATTATTTTGGTAGTGAGATTATTCTTTTCTGATTTCAGAATTTTACTAATGGAATTTCATTTATTGAATTTTTTCCAGATGAACAACGGCTTATGACTTTCTTGCGAGGGTGCAAATTTTCGTTGGAAAAATGTAAAAGGAAATTGGATATGTACTTTACTATGAGAACTGCAGTCCCAGAAATATTCTCCAATCGAAATATAAGAAACCCAGAGTTGAAGCTAGTCGTTGAAGTGGGGTAAGATTCCGTTCTGGTTGTTTCCATCCAACATTATTGTCTGAAGTGTATACATATTTTGTCATGGCAATTTTTTTATTTTACTCAATTGTTAATGACCTGAATTGGCTTATATCAGTCCGACTCCAGTTGATAAATCGATTAGGATTTTTGGGTTCTTCCAATTTGTTCCGGGAAACAATATTGAAGAATGTCTATTCAGATGACCTGAAAAAAATATTTTTTGTTTCTTTTCCAAATGAGGCTATCATTTAGAATTTTCTGTATACCATCTGTCACGTTAAGACAATAAATATATTTATTATACGCTTCACTGTACAGTAAAATCGAACCAGGAAGTATAACTACTCATTGGCCAGATGTTGAGAAATGTTGATTGGGTAGAAGATTATGAACATAATGAAAATTAAAACGTAATTCTGTTTTGTTTTTGTACTCGTATTTCTGAAACTGTCCAGTAGTAATCTTGCGTATCAATATATCTTCTCTTGAAGAAAAATAACTCAAAAATCGAATACGAGAAAATGTGAAAAATTGTTAATCTCTGGGAAAGAAAGTTTTTGGCTTTCTACTACTCCATCTTGATACAAAAAAAAGTAGCTGTTTCAGGAGGACTTTTTTTCAGGTTGTGTCTGAAAGTTACTTCTTTGCATGATCTACACATCCATGTATAGAGTTACTTCCTTCCTTTCTTTGGAAGACTCCCTCATCCTTCTTTTTGTATCAAGATGGAGTAGTAGAAAGCCAAAAACTTTCTTTCCCAAAAATTAATCACTCCTAAAAAATATAACCCCTTCAATTCAAATGTTAATCTCTGTTTTGACGGTGAAGAGAAAATTGCATGAGAATTTCGAAACGGTACTCTGATGCCTAAATGTATTCACATTCCATCAACAAGTCGAGTTGAGTTCATGGTACACAATCTGAAATTATTTATAACTCAATTGTTCAATAACATAGGTTTCCATGGTAAAAGTCAGGATCAGAGAGAAAATTCGGGCTGGTAGGACGTACCTGTACATAACGTTCCGTCTGCTATTGCTGCAGACATCTTCAGTGTTATATGCGCGTTGACTGCGAGGATTAATGTAGCATTTTGAAGTCTCAGTATCGACTGATTGAGTAAGTGACTCATTGAAAAGAAGGTTATTTTTTCCAAATTTCTCTCAAATAGCTCTGAATAGCATATTGAAGATTTTTACCGCAGTAGCAGACGAATCACAAATTCCATTCGATCACGGCCTGCCACCCTGAAATTCATCTCTTTCTCATTTGGTTTTTTCGAGATCGTATATATTTTTATTGGGAATGCTACAATGAAAATAACAAAAACGTGAGACAAGGATGATCAACGTTGAAATTATTCCACGACTGGCAAGTAATTCACAGTAATACCTATTTTTCAAGTACCTACATATTTAAATGACCTTGTGGACTTCAGAAGAGAATACTACGACTTTTTCACATGTTTTGTGGACTTTAACACTCACAACACTCAAGCACACCAGAAACATTTTCGACTAATTTTTCACCTCCTGATTTGGTTGATGGAAGAGCGTCAATAATGATATTCTAGTTCCTCCTCTTGGTGATCGAAACACGTGTCAAGGTGTTAAAATAATGGTTTGGTGTTGTGAAAAAACTCCAGTAATATTCATTAATACACGAAAGGTTCCAGACAGTGCATCACAAATTCAGGTTCTGGTTTGTGGAAGTGGTGTTTGTGTCGGAGCCTTCAGGATACTCTTGTAAACTGAGAGTCATCTCAAGAATGACTGAAAATGTCATGAGTGTACTTCTCTATCTATGAATTTTAATATAATATAAGGGATACTTTTCAGATGCTATCATTTTTGAGACGATACAAGGGTTCCTTGACATAATAACATTCGTTTAAAAATAATTACTTCGTAGAACGAGCTCATTATAGACATAGGCAAGTTTTATTATTTTATGAACTGAACTCTCACTTGTATTCGAAATTAGGTTCTGAAGATGATTTCCCTTTCACTCCAAATCGTTAAAGATATTTGTACAAAATATTCTGAATGACAAAGAATGAGTGAAAAACATTTTGGTTTTCTAGTTTTCCATGACTATACGAAAAAATGTGGAAAAATTCTGAGGAAAAGGAAAGGGCAATAAGGTTTAATAGTTTCATTTTTTCTTGAAAAAACTAGTTTCACATGAACATTGGATTATACGAAAAAAAAAGTTCATTCTAAACAACTCTCTTCAACTATCTTCGAATTACACGATAAATCATATTTTCATTCGTTATGGAATTGGATCATACATCATTCTCATTAAAAATACAAAACGAAATGAATGGAAAAGCATCCATATAAAACACGTTGAATGAAAAATGTATTTTTCGTATAATTCAATGTTTATATAAGAGTATTTGTTTTGAAAGAACTTATTCTTTTCTGTAATTCAATGTTTTTTTTTTCTGTAAAACTATAGTACAGATAAAGAATAGATAGCCAAACAATTTCTCTCCAATAACGGATCGCTCCTGATAGTTATGTATGAATTCTCACAAAAACCAATCATCATGTTTTCAAGGTCATCAGTAAATATTTAACGATAAACAATCTCCATTGATATAATCGTCTAGAACTTTTGATGAATGAGTGTTTCAAGTATTTTTATTATTATCACACACTAATCTACCAAAAAATACTAAAAAAATTTGTCTGAATCAATTCTAATCTACAAAACAAAACTGTTGTTGCTTGGCTCAGCATATTTCCTTTGTTGAAACATTGGTTCTATAGAAATTATTTCTAATTTTCAGTCAGATACCTCCTTTGCCAGGACTAACTCCTGATGGTAGAAGAGTTGTTGTTCTTCGGGGTAAAACAGATCAAGTGGAAACATATGACATTGCAGATATTATGAAAGTAGTTCTCATGATAGGTGATGTTCGTCTGGAAGCGGAAGAGACTGGTGTTGCTGGAGATGTTTATATCTTAGATGCAAGTGTAGCCACTCCCACCCATTTTTCAAAAATCAATCCATCGATGGTTAAAAAATTTTTAGTCATTACCCAAGTGAGTAATAGTTTGCAATATTTTTAACTTTTTAGTTCGATGTTCTTCAAAAGCGTGTTTTTTAGTTTTTTTAAACTATATTTATTCGTTGGGTCTTTCTTGATGTAAGTAAGGTTTTCATTTTGAATGACTGATTCAATTTTCTGAATATGTTTCTAGTTCAAGGATAACGATGGCATTCGATTCATCAGATTTCGTAAAAAATCTATCGATAAAAAAAACCGGAAAATTTATTTGATTTGAAAACTAGAAATTTTTAACTTTTCGGTTTATTTACACTTTGATGAAAAAAAATCATATCAAAATTATTTCTGATATATCAATGCAAAGTTTTACCATTTTTTATTATCGTTGATGATGATTTTGGAACGCCTTGGAGTTTCAAATGATCTGAAAGTTCGAAGCTCTTTCATGTTTGAAGTAAGTAAACCGATGGGTGCATTGAAAAATATGTGTTGCTACAAAGATTTTCAGAAATTCAATGCATTTGAAATGATTTGAGATTGTTTGAAACTTCAAAATTTCAATTATGCCCAACATGTTTATACGCCAACTGAAGACAACAGTAATTCCTACTTTTGATAATTATGAAATGAAATTGCCGTAAGATATCAAATAACCCAACCTTTTCTTAAAGTTGATCAATAATAGTCACAATTTTAAACGGGCATGTGAGCAACAGTGAAATATTAGATCCTCCAAATTTGAGAAAACTCTGAGAAATATATAAATTTCCAATTATGTTTGCAAAATAATGTATATTGCTGGCGGTGGCACTCAAATAGCAAATAAACAAATTGATCCTCCTCCACTTGTCTCATTATTTTCATTTTCAGGAAGCTTATCCAGTTAAACTCAAAGAAGTTCATGTTGTCAACGTTTCTCCATTGGTAGATACAATCATCAGCTGGGTGAAACCGTTCTTGAAAGAGAAACTGAAGAATAGAATTTTCGTTCATTCGGATCAGGAATCGTTACACAAATATATACCAAAGGATGTGTTACCGGAAGAGTATGGAGGTACAGCAGGAAAACTACAAACTTTCCACGGTGAGTGACTAAGTGTTTCAACAGCAACAGATGTTTTAATGTTTGGTCGGTCGGTGGCCAGGTGGTTCGACGCGGGTGCTTTGTTCACTCACTGCCGTGTTGGTCAATGGTTCAAGACCTAGTCTGAACGATCGATTTTCACTTGCTATCGTCCAACTCGTGTTAGGAATCACACGTTAAAAGGTAAGACCTCGTTAATACTCAACTCGCACAAGTTTCGACTCCTGAGGGTTGTCGTTCATAGGGGTACGACAGCTGATTAACGGAAAAACAGATTTTAAACAGACAGAGACAGACAGATAATAACTTGAATTTTCTGTTGCGTTCCAGACTTTCACAACATAAGGTTTCTCAAAGAGAATAGGTGATATGAGATATCGTCATTCGGTCATGAAGGAGAGGTTTTTGTTTTTTTTTTAAATATACTTTCAGAATTTTCCATTCGCGGAAACCTTTGCCTTTGCGATGGCAAAGTCATAATTTACGAAAAACAGATGTTTTAATGTTTGGTCGGTCGATGGCTAGGTGGTTCGACGCGGGTGCTTTGTTCACTCACTCGAATTGACTGCCGTGTTGGTCGGTGGTTCAAGCCCTAGTCTGAACGATCGATTTTCACTTGCTATCGTCCAACCCGTGTTAGAAATCACACGTTAAAAGGTAAGACCTCGTTAATCCTCAACTCGCACAAGTTTTGACTTCTGAGGGTTGTCGTTCGTAGGGGTACGACAACTGAAAACAGATTTTAAACAGACAGAGACAGACAGATATTAACTTGAATTTTCTGTTGCGTTCCAGACTTTCACAACAGAAGGTTTCTCAAAGAGAATAGATGATATGAGATATCGTCGTTCGGTAATGAAAGAGAGGTTTTTGTTTTTTTTTAATATACTTTCAGAATTTTTCATTCGCGGAAATCTTCGCGATGGCAAATTCATAATTCACGAACAAACAATAGTAGAAAAACCAAAACCAGAAAAGTCAATATTACAATAAAATATTGAATCAAAATATCAAAATGAGAAGGAAGATGCAAACAAATCATAATTTTGATGGAAGTAAATACCTGCAACATACATCTTGAATAATCTGAACAATGACAGTAATTTTTCAATGTAGAGTAGTGAAAGATAATGGATTCAACTTCAAAAATGGGATATGATGCCTAAGTTCAGGAAGAACAAACCATAAGGTAGCGAAAGTCTTTTGATAGTGGGAATTTCATGAAGCATTAAATCAAAATCGATATTTCGCAGTGTGAGCAGAAGGAGTTGAGCAATGTCCAATAATGTCTCAGAATATCAGCTTCACGTGGTGAACACCAGATACTGCTGTAAAATATCAACAAAAAATGATATTTCATGTAGACGCGAAATATAACTTTCGGATGTCAAAGTCCCTTTTTAAAAATTAATTTTATTAACAAAAATTGATGTTAACAGTATGAGAGCATAATTATAACTGAATTACAAAAGTATTCTTCCCATGAAGATAAGAATGCTTGCACATCAGTTTCCCAGAATCGCGAGATTCTGCTTCAGCATGGTCAGCGGTTCACATGGGAACGGGCGATATAATTCGCGGTAATTTGCAATTGCATTCAGATTCATTTGTATATTTTTGGTTACTTTTCGAGTATGTGACTTGCCAATTGAAAATTCATATGCGGGATTAGATTTCATTGGCAAAAACATTATCGTGGAACATAATATTGGTCGTTCGTTTCAATATTAACTATAATTCAAGGTCATCCACGCTGTATGGAATGTCGAGCGGAAAACATACGAAATGATTCAAGTATAACATTTTTGATGGCAAATAAGGAAATAGTAATTGATCTAGTTTAGAAATAATTTTTATACAAATAACAGATTTACCTATTTTTCAAAGATAATAATTTCGAAATGGACCTCTATGCCTCGAAAACATTTTCTATTCGACATAAAAACTCAGGAAGATACGGCTGATATGAACACACCGATTCATATTTATAATTTCTTTGAGTTCACTCCCTTCCGCTGTCTCATGGAACTGATTTATCTTACCTCAATAAATAGGTAAATTTCTTGTGTGAAAAACTATTTTCATTTTCAGATCAGTGGATGAAAAAACTTGAAGAATACACTCCCTGGTTCGAAGCTCAAGAAAATATCAAGGCTGATGAATCAAAACGTCCAGGAAAACCAACAAATTATGACGATCTGTTTGGTTTAGATGGAAGTTTCCGACAACTCACAATTGATTAGATAATTTTTCTTACTTATTTTTGTTCATGATATTTCTCTAAATGTTGTACTTCCACTAGTTCTCATTTTTACCAAAGTATTTTCTAATTGTATATTCAAATCATTCATATTCCTGTTTGTCTTTGTGGCAATAAGAAAAGTTGTTTTGTTTTATTGAAAAAACAGTTAAATGGTTCATATAAATCATATTACTCTGCCAATGATTGTGATCATGAAATATACACTATTGATAATAAAAGTTACAGTTTGAATTGATAGATTACATCCTAATATGCTACAAAATAATTTTCAGGATTGTCAAAGAAATCCTGTCAGTTCTCTGTTCAATACTGTTTGTGAATTGGAATATTTTTCATTTCTGATATTATTCATTAACCTCTTTCGAAATGAGTAATACTATATTCAGTGAGGGAAGGTTGGTTGGGTAACAGGATCAATTTTTTCTTTAAAAAACATTTGTTTTCTTGCCGATGTTAAGAATTTAATTAAATTCTATTTAGGCGTTCTGTAACAATGAATTTTCATAAATATACCTCCCACACAACTCATACAAATATTCATCATTTCAATTCTACAAGAAATAATGAGTTCTTAATGGAGAATGTTCCTCCTGACGAAAATCAAGTAGTTTTCATAAAAGACCTCTAAAACAACGCATTTTAAACTTATCATTCCAACCTTTTTCTTAAAAAAAATATTTAAATACTTAAAAAAGAGGAATGAAATAATGCATTCAGAATTTGAAGGGATTCGTTTCTATTTCACCATTTGGCAACATCGGTTATAGCTAATAAAGGACAATGAATCTGTTACCTGTATGAGACAAACAAAGATGACATATTTCAGAGGCGTGCTGTTCTGTTAACTTATGTTCCGAGTTCCGAGGCATTCTGTGACATATGACATTTTGTGCACCTAACCTATCTTCCTATATATAAATAAATAACAAAACAACTGTTGTTTATGTGGCTTGTGGAGGTGGTATTGAACATTAATTTATATTTTGCCTTAATTGTTGATTTATAAAGATAATTTTTCTTTTTTAAAGTAGAATATCTAGGTACGTATAAATTATCTCAACTTGATATAGGTGATGTTGCCAATATGTGAATTAGGAAAAAATCCCTTCAAAAATCAAAACCCAACATTTGAAACATCAATTTGAATACTTTCCGAAGTGAATTTGAAAAACTCATGAATTCATACTTGCATTTGCTATAATAACCCAAATTGAGAAACATTCCCAATTGAATTACTCAACGAAAAATAGTTTCTTCTTGTTGATGATATTACTATTTTGAAAATCATCAGATATCAAGGTGGTATCTGTTTTTTCTTCAATGACAGAAAGAAAAAGAATGGAAAAAGGATAAGTTATCCAGGTATTTCCCTAATCGAAATGGAATATGCACTATTAAGGCCATCTACATCTCTTCTATCGCATTTGAGCATCTGTATCATTTCGCTCAAAAGTCTTTTGGATAAATATGGTTGAATAGTTGGATGATCAAAATCAAAAAATGTGTCCATATTCTTTTCCATGTTCAACGAGAGCTCTGGGGTTTTTTATATTCAGTTTCCTAGAGTGTCTTATATAATCTAAAACTCGTGTTTCAAATTATCGTCCGGTTTGACCAACATAGCATTTGTGACAACTTCCACAGTTCAATTTGTACTCTATATAGAATTGTATTCCTTGTATTGTTTTTGTTCTTTGTTTCGAGAAAAAATGCTTTCCAAGTATATTTTCATTTGAAAAGGCCACTTTAATTTGTTCGGTACTGAGTAGAATTCCAAGTTCATCAGATAAATTTTCTTCAAATGGAATTTTGTGATATTGTAATTCATAATTGTAATGATTGTAATTCATAATTATTAAAATTTTCTTCGAGTGAAAGTAAATAGAACTTGAATATGATCAGTTTATTCGAAATAATTTACAAATAAAATGGTAAAATTTCCTCTGCAAGCCATTTATGTGTGCAAATCCTCTGGTATACGACCGGTAGCTGCTAACTTCTTGAAAAAATATGCTGACTTCTTCCGAATCCTCGTTTTGTTAGGATCATTTTGGTCGATGTAAAAAAGGCCAAAGTGTGCGCTTTAAAAAAATGTATCTCAATATCTGTCTATGAAAACAAAAGTGTTGTTATACCTTTTCAATAGTTCGTGCGACAAGTGTGCATAGTGAAAGTATTTTTTATTCGATATAGATAGCAAACTTTGATAAAGAGCAACATTTTGCAGTTAGCTATTTAAATTTTTTTATATATTTTATTGCAGTTGTTTATTGGAAAAAGTTTTATCGAAATAATTATGGCAAAATTCAATTCGTTGATGTCATGAAGTGGTGTTAACAGAATCCAAGAATTTTTTCGACCATACTGTTATACAGACAAGTTTTTGAAAACCTTCAGAATTAGAAGGTTGGTGGAATTTTAAACAGTTGTGTAGTTATGAAGTCAAATAAACGTTGTACAGAAATGGAAAAAACAAAGTAGGCGTTCTCGAAATATTCGATTTAGAGCTCTCATCTATCAAAATAAAATAGCAATAGTGACTTTTTTGGATATTTCATACACATCATCATTCAGTGTTGAAAAATTTTCTCAAATACGTTTTGTTTTATATTGGCCACCGTCAACTCTCTTCTTCAAAGATGGACATGTGTTTCGTTCTTTTGGATTTGAATTCTCTACTTGAATTTCATGATACCAAATGAAAGTGTATGAAAATCGTGTTGCGTTTTCTTTTAATTTCAAACTGGAATTGACAATATTGATTTTTTGCGAATATCTTGAAAAAAACTTTTTTTTTCTCCATTTCGGTACACTGTTTACTTGACCTTTGGAGTAAGCATTTTTTTTGTAATTTTATCAACCTTCTGACCTTGAAGGTTTTGGAGTTACCAATAGTGCCTGCCTAAAATATTCAGCCTATATATACGACTGAAATGTGTTTTTACCGAAGTTTTCCGAATCACTTTGCAAGTTAACCCTATAGCTCTTTTGAGTTCATGAACTTCTGAACAGAACTGTACACTTGTATGTGTGAATTTGGTCTAGGAACTCCACAAAAGGTAGAAGCTGCTATCTGAAAGTGAAGAATAAAGTCTCCTATCTCCATCACAGTTGAGGTGAAAACTTCCAGCACTGAGATATCCAATCGAATCGGGTGATATTTTCTATTCTGTAATTCAGTCACCCTAAATTTTTGTAGTACGTTCATCATCCCATAAAGCTCATTACGTGGTTTATAACTTCTGATGCAGGTCAACTGTACTGAATTGATTTTGAAATTACCCTTCACCAACCTTTCAAAAGTGGCTAGAGTATTGCATAATCCTACTAGAGAGGTTTGAACTCATCCATGTCCAGCCTGAAATTCGATTTTGCCTTCGACTTCGGAATGATCTTCGATTTCAGTAACCACTTTTCAGAATCAACGTATTTTGATTCGACTAACCTGATGAAATAGTTGTTAGAAATCTTGGGTCATCGAGCATCTAAAGTCGATACATGTTATCGTTTTTCTGTAGATTATTTTGAGAGCCCCATTTTGCCTCTGATGCAGATAGCTCACATTATATCATTTGCAAACTTCGGGATACTTGATTTACGTTTTTGGAACATCTTTCTGGCTACCAATTCATCGGTTATTAGAGAATTTGATGCAGCTCGGTGTTCTTTAAATATTCGAGCAAGGCCTGTACTTGCGATCATTCTTATTGGCTGTTCTTTAAATACACTAGTAAAGCCTGTACTTTACAGAGAAGATGAATGTCGAGCTTACGACTCCAACTGACCTCCCTGTAAATTTAGATCAGTAGATTCTCAACTCTCCAACTCCTGATCCAATAACTGAACCTAAAAAAAAGGTTTGGTGGTGCAGCCAGGAAACGACTGAGTCGTCTCCTCAAGAGCGGGGTACCTTACGAAAATAACTTGCACCAAATTCTTGAGCGGCGTACGCACAATCTGTCTCAGGTGGAGGAACAAACCCCCCATGAGCAGGTTAGCACACATTTGCGCTAAAGTGATGATTCATCAAAACTAGAGGTGAAAAAGCCCTGCACGGTTGAATCTAAGGCATCGTCAGCTGTAGCTGACGTGCAAAAAGCCTCATATGGGTAGTTTGTCGCGGGTATCAAAGTGAGAATCTTGCACCCCAACTATCCAACTACCTCATTGAGGATGAAACAGCAGAGCATATACTTTGTGCCTGCCCCGCTGGGGAACGAATCGGGTTTTTAGAGTTCGACAGAGCCGTACTCTTGCCATCTGACCTGAAAGATCATACAAACTAATCGGCTTTGTTGAGAAGCTGGGTTCATTTGGTCGAATGTGAATCTTGATCTTGAAGAGATAGCAAGTGTAGTAGCCTCTTATCTCTCCTATCAGATGTTGACATCAGTTACTGTCTTGAATTTGGACGCTTTATGGCCTCTGGCCTCTCTGGCCTCTAGAAACCTCTTCCGATGCAAAATACGTTTCGATAACTCATTACCAATTTCTATTCTCTGAGGAATATTTGTAAAATGTTTTGCTGATATATGAGAATTCGTGTAGCATGCTGTGCAGTATGACACACAACTTCTGAAGAAGTATTGTTCATTAGAAATTGGAAAGATTCAGCGAATAGGTGTGACTTTGGTAATACCTGTATCCAGATTTCCATTCAAAGTTGTCAATCAGACTCCAAGTCATTGCACCAAAAATGCTGACTCCATCCTTGTAGATAGCATCATGGAATGCACTCAAATACATCTGAAATAAAGAAATTGACAGTGAATTGATTGGAAGTTATGGTTCCGTCATGTTTCTGTAATCTGCCATATAGAGATTGGAATTGAATAATAAATAACGTTTTCGTACATTTCAGTTAATGAAGTATCGTTTCCAGAAATTATCGAAGAATACAATAAAATAAGTTCTTTTCTTCTTCTCTCTCTCTCCCTCTAGATTTATTGGACGTTGCTTCCTTCCGCCGCATTTCTTCATCCTCCTTCTATCAGATTTGACAGGAGCTTCGTCGAAGGGGTGCAGCGGTCTTGCTCGAAGCAATACTGCCACCCCAAAACTTGTTTTTTATAAAAACACTTAATATTTTTTTGTTGACTCGCCTTCTTTTCGGGACACTTTTTGACTTTTCACACATAATTCAACACATATGATTGTTAAAGTCCAGTCCCCATGTGGACACTCGGTCCACTCCGGCCTCCACCCGGCGTAAATGGGGATAGGGGTTATGTAG